GAATACGGAGTTACAGTGTAATCATAGTCGGAGTCGAAGTTTCTTGTTCTGCCTGTTGTGTGCGTTATACCCGCATCGATGTCGTCTTATATGATCGTTGCGAACATATATGCTCCAGAGGTATCTATGTGAGATGATAGAATACAGAGATACAGTGTGCAGACTGATGTTGTCGAAGTATCTTCACTCGCCTATTGTTCTCGTTATATGTCTTTCGGAGTCATCCTTTATGGTCAGTGCGATCGTATCTGCTATAACTGTAGGCATGTCAGATGCTAGAAAGTTAAGCTCCAGTGTCAATATAGTCTAAGTCGGAGTTTCTTGTTTTCCCTGTTGTGTGCGTTATACCCGTTTCGATGTCGTCACATATGATCGTTGCGAACGGATATGCTACGGAATTATCTATGTGAGATGATAGAATACAGAGATACGGTGTGCGAACTGATCATGTCGAAGTTTCCTCACTTGCCTATTGTTCTCGTTATATGTCCTTCGAAGTCTTCATACATGGTCAGTGCGATCGTATCTGCTATAACTGTAGGCATGTCAGATGCTGGAATGCAAAGTTACAGTGTGAACAAAGTCGAAGTCGAAGTTCCTTGTTCTGCCTGTTGGAGGCTTTATACCCGTTTTGATGTCGTCTCATATGATCGTTGCGAAATGATATGCTCCAGAGGTATCCATGTGAGATGATAAAATAGTCATAATAATCATAGTCGGAGTCGAAGTTTCTTGTTCTGCCTGTTGTGTGCGTTATACCCGCATCGATGTCGTCTTATATGATCGTTGCGAACATATATGCTCCAGAGGTATCTATGTGAGATGATATAATACAGAGATACAGTGTGCAAACTGATGTTGTCGAAGTATCTTCACTTGCCTATTGTTCATTCTATATGTCCTTCGGAGCCATCTAATATGGTCAGTGCTATCGTATCTGCTACAAATGTAGGCATAACAGATGCTGGAATTCAGAGCCACAGTGCAAACATAGTCGAAGTCGAAGTTTCTTGATCTCCTTGTTGTGTGCGGTATTCCCGCTGTGATGCCGTCTCATATGGTCTCTACGATCTATTCTGCTCCAATAGTATCCATGTGAGATGATAGAATGGGGAGATACAGCGTGCACTCGTATTTATCCTCCCAAGTCGTCTTTATACGGTCAGTGCGAGCGAATCTGCTTCAACTGTATGCTTGTCAGGTGCTGGAATGCAGAGTTGTATTGTGAACATTGTCGAAGTCGATGTTTATTGTTCTAACTGTTGTGTGCGTTATAACTGCTTTGATGTCATATCATATGATCGTTGCTAACTAATTTGCTTCGAAAGTATTCATGTGAGATGAGAGGATACAGAGATACAGTGTGCAGACTGATGTTTTCGAAGTACCATCATTTGCCGATTGTTCTCGTTATATGTCCTCCAAAGTCGTCTTATAAAATCAGTGCGATCGTATCTGCATCAACTGCAGGCATGTTAGTTGCTAGAATTCATAGCCCCAGTGTCAGTATAGTTGAATTCGAAGTTTCTTGTTTTTCTTGTTGTGTGCGTTATACCCGTATTGATGTGTTCTCATATGATTGTTGCGAACTGATATGCTCCAGAGTTATCCAGCCTCGAAAACGTCTTATATGGTCGTTGCGAACCTGTCTGCTACATTAGTATCCATGTGAGATAATTGGATCGCACAACGATGAAGTCGATTTATTTCTTATTGCCTGTTGTACTCGCAATATCCTCTTCAGAATCGTCTAATATAGGCACTGCGAGTGATCTCGCTTCGATTGTAAACATGTCAGTAACTAGACTGCAGAGTTACAGTCTAAACATAGTCGTAGTGAAAGTTTCTCGTTCTGCAAGTTGTGTGCGAAATATCAACTTGAAAGTCGTCTTATATGGTCATTGCGGACTTGTCGGCTTCAATAGTGTCCATGTGAGATTATAGGATAGATATTGTGTGCACACTGATGAAGGCGATGTATCTTTATTTGCCTAAGGTACTTGTTATATTCCCCTCTAGGTCCTCTCATATTGTCATCGTGGTCGTACCTGCTGTCATGTCAGATGCTAGATTGCAGTTAGAGTTACAGTGTGAACATAGTCGGAGTCAAAGTTTCTGGTTCTGCGAGCTGTTTGCGTTATGCCCGCTTGAGGGTCGTTTCATGTGATTATTTCTAACTTGCCTGCTTCGATAGTGTACATGTGAGACGATAGGATAGGGAGATATAGTGTGCACGACGATGAAGTCAATGTAATTCCATTCGCCTGTTGTACTCGCATTAAACCCTTCAAAGTCGTCTTTTATGGTCACTGTAATCGTATCTGCTTCAACTGTATACATGTCAGATGCTAGACTGCAGAGTGACAGTGTGAACATAGGCGAAGTCGAAATTAATAGTTCTGCAAGCGGTGTGCGTTGAACCTGCATGTAAGTCGTCTCATATGGTCATTGCAAACTTGTCTGCTTCAATAGTGTTCATGTTATATAATAGGATGAAGAGATATAGTGTGCACAATGATGAAGTCGATGTATCCTCATTTGCCTGTTGTTCTCGTTATATACCAGTCTTATATGGTCTCTGCGATCGTTTCTGCTTCGATTTCATACATGTCAGATGCTAGACTGCAGAGTTACAATGTAAAAATTGTCAAAGTCGGAGTTTCTTGTTCTGCAAGTTGTGTGCGTTATACCTGCTTGGGAGTCGTCATATATGGTCATTGCGGACTTTTCTGCTTCGATAGTATCCATGTGAGTTGAAAGGATAGAGGGATATGGTGTCGATGTTTCCTCATTTGCCTATTGTTCTCGTTATATATGCTACAGAGTCGTCTCATACGGTCACTGCAATCGTATCTGCTTCAACTGTATGCTCGTCATATGCTAGACTGGAGAGTCACAGTGTTATCATAGTCGAAGTAGAAGTTTCTTGTTCTGCGAGTTGTGTACGTTATACCAGCCTCGAAAACATTCTATATGGTCTTTGTTAAAACTGCGCAAAACTTTATGTGACAGCTTGGTCTTGTCCCAATTCGCTTAATGTGATTTTTTGTATGGTCCATGCCTTGATGGAAGTTATAGGTATGAAATTAAAAACGTACAGAATTATTGTGTGCGGTTTATATATGGGTTACGTAAATATGATCACATATCTCAAAAACTAAATGAA